CTACCTTTATTTAGTTGGTGTCAGTCTTTTATTAAAGTTATTTACCTTTCTTTAGTTACTTCAGTGCTTATCAGTACTGTTAATCGGTCAGACTCCACTCTCTAAGGGCTGATGAGCAGCCCTAATCGGAGAGGACGGCTCCTGAACCGTTGGCCCAGCCTGGGGTGCTTCAGAGAATAACCCTCGCCTCTGAACACCAGGAAACCAGAGAGATCATCGGTTAACTTCAGGAAGCACAGCAACGACCCGCCCCCCTTTACATCGACGGCGGACGTGTGGGAGAGAGGCGGTCCCCCACCTTCAGGTTTCTCAGCGTCCTCATCTCCCTCCCCCGACAGTCATTTCTGTGCCCTAGGAGCCAGATGACATCGATCAGACAGCGCGCCTGTCTTTCGCAAGAAATGGGCTGCAGCAGCAGTTACATCTTCCTGACGAGTTCCCTCTGCAAGGAAAGTGAATGTCTTAATGAACTTAAGTCGCCGAAGCCTGCGTTGCGCTTAATGGTTACGTTTAGCGTTCATGTGGTATTCGGAGCTCTGAGCACATGTGAGACTATATCTGCCAGTGACTATGTATGGTGCTCATGTATGCGGTAGCAATCGGTCTCTAATTGCTTTATATAAAGGCTGATAAGGTTGATTAATGCTTTAATAATGGGAGTATTGATTACTGATGCTGTGTGTGTGTGTGTGTGTGTACGTACAGAGACGAGTCTGTCTCCTTTCCTCAGCTCTCCACAGAGATCAGCTGGTCCTCCGGCGAGGATGAAGGAGATGAAGATTCCCTCCCCGTCCTCCCCGCCCACGATGTTGAAGCCCAGTCCTGTTGCTCCTCTGTGCAGCACCACCTTCCTGGGCTCCCTGTGGGACCACACAGTCAATCCTCCTGACGTCATTTACCTTTTATACGATTCTCTGTCTCCATTCTGTATTTTTATTATCACAACCTGGTTCTGATTCTGGCTGCTGTGTGTAATAGCAGGTTTTCACCAGCAGAGGGCAGGTCAGCTGTCTGTGTTGGTAATAACTGAATCTAGACTGAAATCTACTGTTTCACCTCCTTTTTAAAGCCTCATTATGTAACTTCACCACCTTAAAATAACAGTACTTCACTTATAATAGAGCCATTAAGGTCACACACCTCCAACTGAAACTGGATCAGATTTTAATGGAGGGAATATTTCCTCCGGCTGCTTCAACTCTTTACAGAGTTTCTGATGGACAGTAAAGTAACCGCTGCCAATGGAGCTGCTGTTAGCTCGTTATCTTAGTTAGAGCAGATTATTTACAGTAAATGTTACATCAGAGGGAGTTTCTGATGGTTTTAGGAACTTTTTATACAATTCTCTGTCTGAGTAAACTGATTCATTCAGTTTCCTTCTACACTAATCAGTTTTATTACATCCTTTAAAGTCAAGAAGACCTTGCGACCCCCAGGTTGGGATTGAGACTGTGGGTGAAACTAATACCAAATCCTACATAGTGTTGATTTAAAATCGCTCCTATCTACAGCCGGTGTGGTTCAACATGGTGTCTCCCCTCTGTAGATATATAATATATATATATACATAACGATTCTTATTATCAGCTGATTATAAACTAATAAAAACTATTAATATTATATTAAAGTAACGTCCTCTCAGGCTTTACTGAACCACAATCCCATTATTATTAATATTATTATTATTATTGTTATATATGTGGTGTGTTTGTTCTCACCGGGTGACATCGTCGTCTCCCAGCATGCTCTTCGGGGTCGGGGAGTAGCGTCCCGAGGATGCTGGTGGGGGGAGGGACTGACCCAGGAAGTTGGGGGGGCTGATATGGTTCTCCATGTGCTGGGAGTACGCTGGAACAGAGAGACAGACAGATGGAGTCAGTCTCTGGTCTCCTCCTGCTCCTCTACCTGCTCTTCTACCTCGTCCTCTACCTGCTCCTCTACTTGCTCCTCTAGGCTTGCCTGTCGGGCTCCTGTTACCTGATTGGACGAGGCCCGGAGCCGTCGAGGGGGTCGTAAACTGACGGATCAATCACCTAACTGACATATTTATTATAATATATATGATTCTATTGATCAATCACAGAGAACAGCTGATCAACTGAAAAATGAACCAAACTGTGAAATCAATAACTGCAGGAAGTTGGATTATTTCCTGTGAATATTGATCAGAAATTAGTTTTAATAATATTTAGTATTGTCATCATTTTCAACAATCAGACTTAATATTCTTCTTTCTGACAGATTCACTGTTTTCTATTCAGTATATACACACACACATCATATATACACACACATCATATATACATAAACATACAGCGGGGGAGTTGTAATCAACAACTGAACTGTTAGATGGGACCAGATCGTCCTCACTGGTCCTGTAACAGTATTATTTAGTTCGCTCTGGTAGATGTAATCAGAGTGTTAGTGGATTAACCCGACTGCAGCAGCTGAAGCTCGACGCTCGCTGAGTGGATTTGCTGCTCGTCCTTCACACGTCAACCTCAACATCAGCGGAGGAGGAGGAGAGGAAGGGGAGGAAGGGGAAGAGGAGGGATGACGCTGATACAGAGACGCATCCACGGCTCCTGAAGGAAGCAGCTCACTGAAATGTACCTGAATCGATCAACACCACCAGTAATAGATACAGAGATGGTTTTGGGGTTTAGTTGCTCTTTAAACTAACTGAAGACTGATTAAAATGTTTTCAGAGACACATTTTGTAACGCAAGAGAAAGTTTCCAGACACGTTGGTAGGTTTCCAAATCCTGGAGTAGTGAGGTTTCATCAGGATACTGAGAACGTCTGTCAGACTGTCAACATTTGTCAGGAAGCTTTAAACTAAAACCAGTCTGCTCATGTTTCTCCTGTTTCAGGGTTTGTTTTAGACTGTGTGTGCAGATTGTTATAATTCCTACAAACACTGTGGACCTGCTGTTTACTGTTGTTACAGCTCAGAGATATCTCTAAATGTCACCTGGAGAAAGGAAACTCACTAGTTAGCATAGCACCGGTCTACCAAACTCCATTCAGAAAACCAGCATTTTAAAAGTCGACTAATACGTAATCTATTTGCTTTTATCAGAACTTTTACAGGAGATTATTTCCAGAATATTTGGTCATTTTAATACATTTCCAGGTGTTTCCCAAACTAGTCTCTAAATATCCAGACTATCCAGGTGTTCCTGGACTTGTGGGAACGTCGCCCTTACTGCAAATATACGAGCACATAAAGTTGAGTTCAGCGTGACAGAGGCAGGACGCACTGCTGTCAGTAACAGGAGAAATTACAGTTTTATCCTCTACAGTTAACTTCCTGTTCAGCGATCAATCATCTGATCACTTCTATCCCGGTCAGATGGTTCAGCCGGACATCGTTCCTCCTGTCCTCATCAGTCCAGGATCAGTCCGTCCTTCAGCGACTCCACATTAAGGTTCACGAGGGAGTCGTTGGGACCGGATCCAGGGTTCGTGCTCTCAATGCGTTCCCGCCTCGCCTTGACTTTGAAACGTGTTGTTTGATGAATGCCACCGTGGGGAACGCCACACTGCGGTCCCTGCTGGATTCTACGCTAATTCAGGGTCAAAGGCACAAAGTCACCCGGTCCACATCTGAACCGGGACCTGCTAATCTGGTTGGTGTGACTTTAGAAGACCTCCAACCACAGGCTTCATGTCCTCGTGTGGCCGCGGAGAGGACAGTTTGAGTTAATCTCAACCGTCTGAACGAGGAGAACATCCCCTGTTGAATATCTCTGATTATTATCATTAACCTCTGAAGTGTTCTGGTGTCTGATGAACCTTTAAAATCCTGGTTCTATTACTCGTCCTGGATCAGATCTGATCTCCTCACCTGAACCTGAAGTTAATGTTTAAGTGATTTTATGTCATCTGTCTATACGTCTCCTATCCTCCATCATAGCTCTGATCAACCAAACTCCATTCAGAAAACAAGCATTTTAAGAGTCGTTTATTCAGCGTCTTGATGTCGTTATTTCAGCATCATTTTGATCCGTTCATTGACATTAAATCACAGAAACATCTGATTATTTTAGGCTCAGACTGCTGCAGTGCGACAGGTTAAAGGTCTCATCAGTGAATAAACTGTAACAGTGGTTCTGGTTCTGGTTCTGTTGTGATGTAAAATTAAAAACCATCATGACTCACAGTTGGTGAGGTCGGGCGGGGCGAAGCTGTCGTTCATGAAGACACTGTTGGGTTTAGCCACTTTCAAGTAGACCACGTCAGGAGTGTTTTTCAAGGCAGTGACGGCGTGTTCGTGGCTCACCTCCTCCAGGCAAGCACTGTTCACCTGAGCAGAGAGAGGAGACATCAGCACTCACCTCCTCAGAGCGACTGCGTACAGTAAATACACTGCGACACAGGAATCACAGAAGACTGTTTCTGTATAGTTACTAATTAATGCCGCGAGTCCGATTCCCCTTGAAATCAATGAAGATGGTAGAAACACTTTTATCCACAGGGGGCGCCAGAATCAACAGAGAATGAAAGTTCCTTGTAGCTGCTTTAAGTAAAAGTATTTGTAATTATTATTATCAAAATGTGCTTTAAGTATGAAAAATAAAAGCCGACAAAGTAACATTCAAGCAAGGTCAGCTACGTTAGCTAGCAATTCGTTAGCAACCAAGCTAACGTTATCCAGCT